AGGTGACACCGAGGTGCAAGAGCGGGTCCCGATGGGTCGTGGCGATGAAGGACTGATGTCGAGGTGGAGTTCATGACGGCTGTCCCTCATGGTTTCTGGCGTCGGCCTTTTCACGTTTCTGCGGCACCCAGCGAGGCGATGGCATGGGCCATGTCGTCCGTCATGAAGGATGTGGCCCAATTGAGGGGAAAAGCTAATTTTAGCCCTGGGGTCCGACTGTTCGCGCCTTATGCCGAAGTGAGGATTCACTGTCCCCCGCTGGGCTGCATTGGGGTGTACCGCTCCAGCATTTTGCTGGGTCTTCAGTTCTCGTTGCCTGACACACTAAACTATATTCTATGCGAGCTACATCGGCATCAGCCAACCAGTCCCGACTGTGTTCGCTCGACTTGTGAGCTTAATTGTGATGTTTAACCGTGGCCCGTGAGGGCTGGTCTGACCCTACACAGAGATGATGTGTAACACCCCGCTATTTCATGAAATTCAGAGCGCGCTTTTCGCAAAATTTTTCTAAATAAAAGCATTTATTTTGCGAAATACTGATTCGGAGTGCTACCGCAAAATCTGACTTTATCTGAAAATCGTTATTTTAATTTAACAACAAACGGTTATAAAACATAATACCCGACTAGAGTCGGATTAAAAGCTGGGTTGGAAAGCTGAACAGTAGCGGAATCATAGCGTAGCCAAAAACATGATTTATACATATATACAAATGTCCTGAACCGTTCGCCAGCTCACTCCTCGGCCCCGACCCTGTGACCTGAAAAACATGAATGATGTGGAAGCGTGAGCACTAATCCATTGTGCTCCGCAGAAACTCATACTAAAGTAAACAGTGAAAATAATAACAATATCATGATCCTGGCATATATAACTGAACTGATACTGAACTGAAACTGAAACTGATACTGGTACTGAATAATCATGATCTGATACTGATCTCGTGATAATCATCACCTGACTGATAACTGAACATCTGCCAGCATAAAAATGTCGGACACCATGTGCACACTCTAGTGGGCAGACTAAGGCCACTCGAATCTAGAATGGACCGGCGACCATTCCGAGCGGATACTGATAATACATACCTCAAACATGGTAGCGTAATTATAATCAATGTAATACCCAGTCTGAGTCCCCACCTGATCCTTTGAAAATGAAAGGCAGTGCTGATATCTGATGTCTAATCAAACTGAAATATAATATAAACAATTACTAAGTACTATGCTCAGACTGATAAAAATAGTTGTTTAATATGTTGAGATGCTCTATTGGACTTGACATGATATTTGGATTTAATCGGTATAACTCAAACCGGTTAAATACGGAATTGAACTGATATAAATTTATTGAACTGAACTGGACCCGGAAATTTAACTGAAAATGAGACTTGAATATGAACCGGGACTAAAAACATGAAAATATGGCCTGAACCGGTCCAACCGGTCTGAACCGGTCTGGCCGGACCGCTGGCC